GACAGAGTGAGACTCCAACTCAAAAATAAATAAATAAATAAATAAATAAAAATTTAATCTGCATTAATAATCTTTCATCCACTGCTATCTAAAGTCTACAGCGACAATTAACAAAACAACAGATCAAGCCCTAAGTTATAGCAGTTGCCAGTTTCTGTGGGGTAAATACTCCCACTTTGGTTGCTTTGAAGACATGCAGAGTTGGAAAGACATGCCCACTTGTCTATCATTACAAAGGACAGATGCAATAGATGGAAATAACCCCAAGGGCATAGGCAGCTGTAAAATGTCACCAAAAAAATAATAAATAATAGAAAGGGGTGAGTTTTGAGTACTTATTACCTTTACTTTTAATATAATTTATTTAATTGTGAGTTTTTATAATTTAATTTTCAGTGATGGCTGCGTCTAACAACCATCTTGCAAGATTTCTGAAAATGTACCAGTTGGCTCTCACAAGCTAGTACCAGCCTGCTAAAGCTCACTAAAGGCTATGTTTGCTCTTCACAGACCGGCTTGGGAAACCAAAAATCACACCGAGTTTAATGACATTGGTGAACAGCACCTGTAATGTCACACTGACATGCTCAGTGGAGAAAGAAGAAAAGAATGTGACATACAGTTGGAGTCCCTTGGGAGAAGAAGGGAATGTCCTTCAAATCTTCCAGGCTCCTGAAGACCAAGAGCTGACTTACACATGTACAGCCCAGAACCCTGTCAGCAACAATTCTGGCTCCATCTCTGCCCAGCAGCTCTGTGCAGGTAACCAGCTCTGTGCAGCTCTCTGGATGAGTCTTGGAAACTACTCTGAAAAGTTGCAAGGTTTGACCGTGGCCGATGTTCTCTAGAAAATGTGCCTCCTTAATGCTGGACCTGATTCCCAGAGCATCTCCTCCCAGGCAGCCTCTGGGAAAGAGTTCAGAGCCTTCTGAGAGATGTGATGCATGTCAGGGTGTTCTCTGGCAGTCCCTGCCTCTCTAATTCAGTTTCTCATCCTGACTTTAAATAGCGGAAAGTAGTTCCCTAGGAGTTTTGGCACTCCCTTGGAGAGCACTCAGTTCTGATAATGCCCCTGAATGTGGACAAGCCCGCTCAGCCTCTCGGACCCGTTTTCTGAGAGTCAAGACTCACTGCATCTTCTCTTTCCAGACATCACGATGGGCTCCCGTACCCGCCACACCAAGTTGCTGAGTGTGCTGGTGACACTCTTTCTGCTTGTTCTCATTCTATCTGCAGTGTTTTTGTGCCGTTTGTACAAGAGAAGACAAGGTAGGATTTTCTCAGAAGGTGAAATGTGGAAATGCACCTCTTCTTTCCTGGGACTGAAGCGGTTTATCCAAGGTGCTGCAGAGGGGTCCTTTGTTCCCAGGAATCGGCTTTCCCACAGTCCCTACCCTACCAGCTCACCACCTTCCAGAATGATGGCCCTGAGAACTTTTTGACATTACCCTGAACCATTTTCAGAATCTGTTCCTGAGATCATCAGTATCTGGTGGACCCAGAACTTGGGTCCGAGTTCACTGCTGATGTTAACAAGCTGTGCTTCGCTGGACACGTGTGTCTACTTTTGTGTCCTTGTGTGAAAAGTCTGGACTAGAGGTTTTCTAGGGTCACTTCTAATTTCATTGTATTTTGATAATGTCCTTTGCAGTCATTAAGGGTCACGTACTAATTTTGTATTCCATGGCTGTCACTAGATCCCTCTGAATTCCTCTGGATCTTTCTGTAATTGTGACATACTCAATTCAGAAAACCTGATTTTCGACCACTAGGGCATTACTACACCCTGCTATTCGCCCTCATCTCATGTCCACTCGGGATCTTCCTTTTCAGTTACACTAAATTGCACCACCAATTACAAAACCATGTTCCTGACTCTCTTTTGGGTCTGATTCCTCAGGTTCCTATTTGAAGACCTTCAGTAAGAGCCCTGGTAAGTTCTCAGCCACAGGGTTCTCTGAATAACAATGAGAGGTTGGGGAAGCTCACAGCAGAGCGGTAGGACTAAGCATGTGCTTTGCAGTCAGTCTGGGGGTGAAGGTCCCAGCTTGACCATTTCGCAGTTACTAGTTATTTTGTCACTGTCAGCTTCTGTTTTCTCAATTGTAAAATATTCATAGTGATAGGGCATGCTGCATATACTTATTAAGAGGATTATCTGGAATTAGACATAAAATACTTGACCCAGTTCTTGGTACACAGTAAGTGCTTAGTAAATGTTAGCTACTATATTGACAGTTGATGGGACTGGACAGGGCATGTGGGAGGAATTCTAGGATGAAGGGATTGGCGACATGTACCATATTCAAATGGTTTCACAATGGGGAGAAGTCACAGCCTGCTCAGACTCTAGGTGGCCTGCAAGGTCTTTCAAAGAACTTCAATCCCTCCCAGCCTCTTGGTGAGAGAGAAGGCTATTCTTTGCATAATAAATGAGATCAGAGAGAGCTCTCAGTCTGACTCACTCAATAGTCTGGTGCAGGGGCTGGTACAGAAGTAAACTCTGAAATGTTGGAGTCCTGTGATACTGCTCAATTCAGACTTGTTGTTTATAAATATGTTGGTACCCTGGAATATGAAGACCCAAAATTCTAGCTCTCTGTTCAGTTTGACCCTAAAATATTCTGTGTTAGTACAAAAACAAAAACAAAAATCACTGGAATAAATGCCTCTTCTAGCCCCCAAATTCTTAAAAGTGGGGACTTATCTACTGTTTTTGTTTCTCTGGGACCTCAGAAGGAGCTTAATAAATGCTTATTAACTCTGCGAATCAATCAAACAAGCAATAAACATTTGTGGAGCAATCCACTATGTGCTTAACCCCGAAGTGGTCACAGTAAGGTCTGCACCAGAAGATTGTAACACAGAGGATAACTAGACAGAGTCAGCCAAGTTAAAAAAAAAAAAACTAGGACCCTGCATGAAAAGTCAACTAGCTCTTCAGGGCAGTCAATGTTAAGTGCCAGAGACACTGAGTGACACCTTGGGTGGAAAAGCTACCTGTGACTGCCCACGGAGACTGAGGAGATTCTCTTTAGCCAAGTCTGGACTCTGGAATAGAAAAGAATTCCCATCAAGCTATGGGTGAGCCTGAACCAGTGGCCTGCTCTATCCCATGCAATCTCTGGACAGGGAGAGGCATCCAAGGATCCAAGCCCCCATCTCAAGAGGTTGGGAGCCATTTAACCCCTAAGACTTCACTCGCTCATCTTAAGAAGGGAACATTGGCACAGACTGTCTCTAAAACCTGTCCATCTTTCACAGACTTTGGTTCTATGTTTGTGACACAGATGCTGTCTCAAAGACAACAATATACACGTACGTCACGGTTTCAAGAGATGTCCAGTCAGCAGAGACCAGAATCTATGATGAAATCCCCCAGGCCAAGGTGAGCTGATGCTACCCATGGATGCCTAACCCGCCACCATCTCAGGGTCAGGAGTCACAAGCAGCCATTGCCCTCTGCTTGCTATTGTCTAGAAAGCAGCCACTGCCAAGAGTCTGGAGAGTCCAACAGGAAATCCCATGTCAGGGAAATGATGCCACAAGTCTTTCTGTGAGGACAGGAATGTGGCAGATTGTCACCCTATGGCAGCCTGTGTGGGTTGAAGCCCTGAGCTTCCACAGAGAGCCCGGCTCCATGTTAGGTGACAATCATGACTAGGAGCAAAGCGCCCCCTAGAGGGGCCTCCAACAAGGCAGCCCCTGGAGTGAGGTGAGGGTTGATGTGTGACTATTTATGTGGTGAACAGGTTGTTCAGGGGGCTCCAAGGCGTCACTGAGGGTCACGTAATTATGCCATTCTCAATTCAGAAAACCTGATTTTCGACCACTAGGGAATCACTACACCCTGACAGAGAGTTCCCCTCGAACTATGCGTCTGAGTCTGGCAACAGACTCAGCATCACACTGTCCCACAACCCCTCCTCCCACCTGCCTTTTACCTGCCTACTCCTCCCTCACCTCCACCCTGGATCACCATCCTCATGCTCCCACCAGCCTGCTTCCCTAAGGTCTGCAAGGAGTGAAGGCGGAAACTGATGTCTACCCAATCCGTCCAGCACAGTGTGTGTGGCTTGGGAGCAGAGGTGAATCCACAGAACTCTTGAGAAGAGGAAATTCTGACTGAGCAATACTCAGTCTGAACCCACAGACCCCTCCTCTTGGCTTCTGAGGTCTCCTGCCCAAGGCCCTGCCCATCTGCCACCCACTCACCCCCACCCTGCCCCCTCCTGCTTGGGTGGAACCAGAGCTGAGGACAGGGGAGGAGGTCACTTAGTGAAAGTGGGATCAGGAAGGGGTGGTGGGTGGGGTCAGAATGAGGAAGGGGAACTCATAAGACTCTCCTTCACTGAGGGGAAGACGAATGTTTTACAGGTGCCCCCCTCCAAGGAAGAGCTAGAAAACACAGTTTATTCCATGGTGCAGATCTCTGACAAGGTAACTCCTCTCTGACTTTTTATGCCCGGTCCATCCAACCAGGGGCCAGCTGGTTCCCTTGGGACTCTTCTACATTTCTCAGGAGTAGCTTCTAGGGTTTTTTTTTTATTTTTATAAAACTTCTAGGGCTTTGGTCTACGGTCCTTCCGCCCATACACAGAGTCCTGCTCCTCAGTTTCATGGTTGTCTACACTTGTCCTGCTTGGGATGCTGGTCTCACCCTTCAAATGCAGAAGTCCCTCTGAGTGACAGCATCAGAACTCCAGCCCCTATATCGCCTGGGGCCACTGCTGGTTCCTGGTGTGAAAATTAGAAATCAGATGCTTCCCTCTGAGCAGATGCAGGCCCACGCCAGGTGCCCGGATGGACAAATGGCTAAATTTCAGTTCCCCTTTGCGTGCTCAGCTGCCCTCTTACTGCACACAGCCTGCACAGCCATTTATAGGGGTCTGGTGACACTTCCAACTCCCTGTGCCTTATGTCCTCTGCAATATGCAAATCCCTGGGATAGGACTTTAAGTTTTGGGGATCTAGATAGGAACTGTTACTATGTGAAGGTTCTCATGTCTCCTACAGTCAGGACAGCTTCAGGTCACTTGGAAGATCAATTGTTCTCTAAGTATTCCTGTTTAACAGTTGTGTTACCGAGCAGAAAGCTAAAAGGGGTAAGAATTGAGCCGGGCTCGGTGGCTCAGCCTGTAATTCCATGCCTTTGGGAGGCTGAGGTGAGTGAATTGCCTGAGCCCGCTGGTTCAAGACCCGCCTGGGTAGCGAGACCCCATCTCTACAATAAATAAAAAAATCAGCCGGGCATGGTAGCGCATGCCTGTAATTCCAGCTACTTGGAAGGCTGAGGCGGAAGGATCGCCGGAGCCCAGCAGGTCGAGGCTGCGGTGGCCGGGAGCGGCCACTGCACTCCCATCTGGGCGACAGAGTGAGACTCCAACTCAAAAAATAATAATAATAATAATAAAATAAAATAATAAATAAAATAAAAGGGGTAAGAATTAAGAGCTGACTCTATAAGGCAATAGGAAAAACATCAATGAGCTCGACAAGCAGGATGATGCCACTCTCTTTTTCTTTTCCCCCAGATCATGTTTTTTTTAATTATAAAGAAGTGGGGTACAATTCAGGGTTAGGCATACAAACATTGATTATGCAGTTACCCTTGTTAATGAGGTATGCCCTTCCCGCCCCTAGCAGTTTCCCTCAACTGCCAATACTGCCCCTCCTGACAGTTTCCCATTACTGCCAAATGCTTTCTTATAGTATTATAATTGTTCACGTACCGCTTATGAGTGAGAACATATGGTACTCTGTTCTTTGTTTCTGTGATGATCACTGAGTATGATCGACTCCAAATCCATCCAAGTTGCTGTGAAGTCCATATATTTGTCTTTTATGACTGCATAATATTCCATGGTGTATATGTACCCCATTTTCTTTATCCAGTCCAGCTTCAATGGGCAGCATGGTTGGTTCCATGTTTTTGCTATTGTGAATAGAGATGCAACAAACATTCGTGTACAGGTATCTTTTTTGTAGAATGATTTGAGTTCCTCCCGGTATATTACCGATAGGGGAATTGCTGGGTCATAGGAAGGTCAATTTCTAGTTCCTTCAGAAATCACCACACTATCTTCCAAAGAGTTTGCACTAGTTTGGTTGCCCACCAGCAGTGTAGAAGCGTTCCCTTTTCTCCACATCCTCGCCAGCATCGGTTGTTGTTTGTTTTGTTTTTTTATTTTTTATTTTTGAGTTGGAGTCTCACTCTGTCACCCAGACTGGAGTGTAGTGGCCGCTCCCGGCCACCGCAGCCTCGACCTGCTGGGCTCCGGTGATCCTTCCACCTCAGCCTTCCGAGTAGCCAGAATTACAGGCATGTGCTACCACGCCCGGCTGATTTTTTGATTTATTGTAGAGATGAGGTCTCGCTGTCCAGGCAGATCTCGAACCCGCGGGCTCAGGCAATTCACTCACCTCAGCCTCCCAAAGGCGCGGGATTACAGGCTGAGCCACTGAGCCCGGCTGTTGTTTGTTTTATTAATGATGGCCATTCTTACTGGGGTAAGGTGGTATCTCGGTGTGGTTTTGATTTGCATTTCTCTGATGATGTGTGAGGCTGATCACCTTTCCATGTATCTGCTTGCTGACCATATATCTTCTTCTGAGAAGTGTCTATTTGTGTCCTTTGCCCACTTTTTAAAGGGGCTGTTTGTTTTTATTCCTTTCAGTGCATTTGAGTTCCTTATAGATCCTAGATGTTAGGCCTTTGTCATATATACAGTTGGCAAATATTTTTTCCCATTCTGTGGGCTGTCTCTCTGCTCTCTTGATGATTTCCTTTGCTTTGCAGAAGCTCGTTAGTTTGATGAGGTCCCACTTGTCTATTTTATTTCTTAAGGTATTGGCCTTTAGGGTTCTGAATAAGAATTGGTTGCCTGTTCCAATTTCCATAAGGGTGTCTCCTGCATTTTCTAAGATTCTTACAGTTTAAGGTTTTACATTTAGGTCTTTGATCCATTTAGAGTTGATTTTGTGTATGGTGATAGGTAGAGATCCTGTTTCAATCTTCTGCATGTTGTCAACCAGTTTTCCCAGCACCATTTACTGAATAGGTTCTCCTCTCCCCAGTGGTTGTTGTTGGAGGATCTGCAAAGATGAGTTGGTTGAGGAATTGAGAAATTGCTTCCGGAATCTCTTTTCTGTTCCATTGGTCTATTGTGCCACTGTCTTTTAAAGGGGACTTGATTCTCTGGGTATATTCCCAGAAGAAGACTGCTGGATCATATGGAAGCTAAGTTTTTAGTTATTTGAGAAATGGCCACACTGCTTTCCACAGAGGTTGAACTAGCTTACATTCTCACCAATAGTGTAGGAACACCCCCTTTCCTCCACAGCCACACCAGCACCTGGTGTTATTTGACTTTTCAATGATAGCCATTCTTACCTGTGTGAAGTGGTATCTCACTGTAGTTTTGATTTGCATTTCTCTGGTGATTAGTCAGGAAGAACCTTTTTTCAGTGTGCTTGTTGGCTGCTTGAATGTCTTCCTTTGAGAAGTGTCTGTTCATGTTCTTTGCCCACTTTTTAACAGGGTTGCTTTATTCCTTTCAATTCTTTTGAGTTCCTTGTAGAGCCTGAATTAGGCCTTTGTCAGATGCATAGCCTGCAAATTTTCCCCCATTCCTTGGGTTGTCTATTTACTCTTTTGCTGATTTTTTTCACACCACAACTCTAAAACAAAAATAAAATAAATAAAGGGGACTTGAAGCACACGGCAGTTTCAAGGTAAGGTAAGTCAAATGCCCTAAAGAACCAGACAGAAGGACCGTTACTTCCCCCATGATCAGAAGAGGGAAGGAGGAAAAGGAAGGAGGATCAAGACACAAGGAACAGGGTGCACAGCACACTTGTCCCAGGACCTCGAGGATGGTGGGAGGAAGAAGAGTCACCTGATTGTCCAACAGGTGAACAAAGAAGGAGATAACAATTGAGGGATTAGTTGGGGAGTCCTGGATTGAGGAAATCCTTATAAACAAGTCAGATGCCAATTAATGCAGTCCGTATTTAATGTAAAACCTAAGATTCCTCAAGCCAATGGGAAGGTTGGCCCTAAATGACCAGAGCACATAAGACTCTGGTGGTGACTCCCCACGGTGTGTAGGTAAAGTGGGGTCATTGACAAAAAGAAGCAGGGTTCAGCCAGGAACAAGAAGTGCAGGCAGCTTGAGCCTGGATGTTGCTTCAAACCTGTCATCAAAATCAGTGCCAAGCACTTGCCCCCCTTTCCCTCCTGCTGCTCTTTTCTGGTCTAAGAAGTTAATGGCCCAGGGCTCCCAAATGGGATGGCTGGAGCAGAGGTGAGCGACTCAGCGAAGGGTAAGACCCTGTTACCCCAATTTCCCACGGTACCCAGTAGATCTACAGTATCCCTCCTGTGCCATTGCTTAGCTCCCTTGGGAACCTCGCAGGACTGGAGTTCCCCAACAGCACCTTCCAGCTGACCTGTTCTCCCTCTCCCTGTCATGCACAGATGGGGAAAACCAGCAAGCAGGACAGCAAGCCTCCTGGGACTTCAAGCTATGAGACTGTGATCTAGGCTGCCAAACAGAGCTCTCCCCCTGGAAACTGAGCTACAACCACCAACACTGGCCAGTGCCCTGGACTCAGACTTTCTCTGCCCAACTCTTACTGGGAGACTACAAATCGCCACATTCCAACATGTTAAGCAAAGCAGGAAAGCCTCTGTTGCCAGGCATAGCTTGTGCCTGGATGAACAGATGGAGGTGTGCCCTTTCAGGAATGGTTCCCTCCTGGAAATATGACAAAACTTCCCAGACTTCTTCACATCGCAGCACATATTGAAAGAATACTTTTATGGCACACCGGGGTAAGCAATCCAGACTGCTCACATTTGGAGGCTGCATATGACCACAGGCTTCTCATGACTGGAGGGTACAACCCTGACCAGCAACCATGGAAGGAGGGCTGCTCTATTTTGCATGCCTGTAATTATTCCTGGCATGTTGCCTGGGCTTCTCTGCTCATAATCAGTATGTGCAAGGTGTCCGGGGCATGGCCTCCATCAGGTCCTACAGCTCCTTGGGCAAATTAGGAAAAGGTACCCTCTGCTTGAGGCAGGTACAGTCCCACACCTGAGTGCATGCCTTGGAGAGCTGACTGTGAGTTACACATCAGCCCCCACTCATCCCTTTGCCTGGGAATCTCCATCCAGAGTACAACTGGCTCGATCGGCCCAAATGTGATGACAGTGCTGTGTGGGAGGCTGTCAGAGCTGTGGCTGTCAGCCATGCAGACATGCTCCCCAAACGAAGCATTGGAAAGTGTTCTTTCCGTGGAGTCTAGACTTCTGGGGCACGTTTCTTTGGGCTCCACTTCAGACGCCTCGTAGAATTTTCTTTCTGGCCAAGTTTCCTTTTATATCACTCTAAACAGTGTCAGTAAGAAGAAGCAGTCATCTCCAATACCTCCCTCCCTGCAGCCCCCTGTTCTCCAAAAGGAATTGACCTGCTCTATTTCTGGCATTTCTGGGAAGTCAACCACCCAACCATCAAAACAAAAGACTTCGAAGGAAGCAGAGTCATTCTCCAGAAGGAACTTGGGAGATTATAGTGCAGATGATGAAACTGGGTTCATCCCAGTTCCTAAGGGTTTAAGCTGAGGCTGAGTCTCCTCACCCCGGAATCCCCCCAAACAAACAACCAGTCAGCTTACAAAGGCATTAACTCTTAGCAGTGAGGACGAATCATCCACAGCTGAGCGGGAGATTCATGTGACCGTTTAAGGAAGTATTTTTCTTAGGTGTTAGCAAAATACAACTGGCTACATCCTAAATCCCCATAAACAATCCCAGGCTAGACAGTGGAAAGGAGCTGCATTCTTAAGCAGAACAAAGGCATCATCCCCAGGGAATGGATCCCTAGACCCATCTAGCACCGACTGCCGTTAGCACTAGGTTAGGGACCCCAACACAGAAAGCATTTAATGTCTGCTCCCATCTAGCTGCAAAGGCAATTCCAGCACAGACACTACACCTAAGTCCTGAACTGCAGCTGCAAGTAGTGACATGAGCTAGAACTCCCAGAAAAGACCCTATGGGGAGCTGAAACTGGGCCTTGAAGGTTGGATGGAATTTGGGATAGAGAATGAGGAAAACAGAGAGGGCCTCCAAGTGAGAGAAGCGTGAGAAATGAACAGAGGCCTGGGTCAGAGGGTGTATTCAGGGCACCTCCTCCCCAGATACGATCCCTTAGCCTATGCGTGGCACAGTGCCCAGCTGGAATGGAATGTGTGCCCCCACCCCTGTTCACTTGTGCGGCCTTCAGTGCCCCTCTGAAATGGCACCTCCTCTATAAAGCTTCCCCAGGTATCAAGAGTCAAAATTCATCATGACTTTTAATTGTTTTCTTTTTATTTCTTTCTTTCTTGTATTTATTTATTTATTTTTTTTTTGAGTAGGAGTCTCATTCTTGTTGCCCAGACTGGAGTGCAGTGAGTGGCATATTCACGGCCACCACAACCTCGACCTGCTGGGCTCAGGTGATCCTTCCGCTTCAGTCTTCCAAGTAACTGGAACTACAGATGCACACCACCACATCTGGGTAGTTTTTGTGATTTATTGTAGAGCTGAGGTCTCACCAAGTTGCCCAGGCTGGTCTTGAACTCCTAGACTCATGCAGTCCTCTCACCTCAGCCTCCCAAAGTGCTGGGATTACAGGCTGAGCCACCGCGCCCAGCCCATCGTGGCTTTTTTTGCACACCTTTTTCCCCTTTGTTCCTCCTATCGTTATAACTCATTCCCTTCTGTCTTCTAGCATAAATATTTGTTTTCCTCACTACATTGTACACTACTTAAGGGTGAGACCCATGATGCATTTATTGTTTTGTTCACCTCTATATCCACCACTATCCAACACAGTACTGAGCACCCTGTGTGTGAGCGATAAAAGCTGTTGAATAGGACTGAAAGTGACCGGCCAGCTCGAATAGACGGCACATGTTGGGTGGAGGTAGAGACAGATAGAAGCCAGTGAGCATAGTACAGTCTCATCATGGCAAGTATTAAATGTCTGGAGGCAGACGTCAGAGGCTGATCTTGTGTAGGCTCATTCTGGAGGGAGAAGACTTTCAGAGTTAGAGAAACAAAGAAGTCTCTGGAATCACCAAATCATGTTGGAAGGAAGTGAAAGGCAGTGCCCTGGGGAGAGACACAAAGGAGGGAATAAGGAGGCTTGGTTTAAAGGAAGGCGGGGTTCCAAAGTGAAACCGAACAAGCTGAGTTTCCTAAAATAGGATCACTCCTCTCCCTGTGGATAAACTGAAGAATCACTTCAAACAGCCTTGCTCTCTATCCTGCCCCTTTCTCTCCTTGATATGCTCACATGAGTGAAATTCCTGGTGCCCTGATGTCCCCGTGTGTAATGCCAAAAAAAGAATTAGAAGCAGGTTAGGTCTGTTAGGGCTTCCAGAAGCGAAACCTGGGAGGGAGCCCGTGCACCAGAATTCTTAAGGTGGCACTTGGGCTTAGGACCACCTGTTCGCATCTCTCACTGCGTCTTTCCTGTGAATCTTCTAATTTATGAAGACATAAGCTACTCACCCGCTCTAGGGATCAGTTCTCAGATTTTCCTTCTATAAGATGAGTGGATTTCACAGCTTTCCAAAAGGAAAGCGGGGTTCCAAAAGAACTAGATTGTAAACAGCAAGTCTATAAAATCAAAGTATTCTTACAATGGAACAGGATCTTTTATCAGCACAAGATATGTCCGTTTTAAAAATATTATTTTATTTTGTTTTTGATTCGAGGATACAAGTGCATGTTTGTTACATGGACATATGCGGGGTGGGCTTCAGGCGGCCCATTCCCCAGATAGTAAATTTTATACCCAACAGGTAATTTCTGAAGCTTAGTCTCCCCCACTTCCCCACCACCTTCCTCCTTTTTAGTGTCCCCAGCATCTATGAGATGTACCAGCTTTAAAAAATGTCATTGAAACTGAAATATCAAAAAACAGCAGTCACCATTGCCTTGCTAAGCTATGGTCTGGCCATGTATTCTTTGAGCTATGGTCAGGTCATGTTTTCCTAAGCTTCGGCTCCCTCCCCTACCTTGGGGAGGTGAATCCTCTCTGTCTCTCTCTCTCTCTCTCCTCATTTACTTTTTGGTTTTTTGTTTTTGTTTTGTTTTGTTTTGTTTTGAGTTGGAGTCTCACTCTGTCGCCCAGATTGGAGTGCAGTGGCACGCTCCCAGCCACCCCAGCCTTGACCTGCTGGGCTCCAGCGATTCTTCCGCCCCAGCTTTCCAAGGAGCTAGAACTACAGGTGTGCGCTACCAAGCCCAGCTAATTTCTTATTTATTGTAGAGATGAGATCTTGCCAAATTGCCCAGGTGGGTCGAACCCGCGGGCTCAGGCAATCCACTCACCTCAGCCTCCCAAAGTGCTGGGATTGCAGGCTGAACCACCAAGCCCGGCCTACTTTTTGAATAAACTATATTTTCCAATGTAAAAAAAAGGAAAAGAAAAGAAAAAGAAATTGAAATCTCAGGGGCAGGGCCCTCTAGTGGAAAGTTCTGGTAAAGCAAGACGATCATTCTTCTTCTGCCTGCAAACACCTTGAGCAGACCAGGGGACTCCACAGAATGTTGCAGCTCATGCTCTTCAGAAGAAAAAAGTGAAGGTGGCTAAAAATAGGACCTAAAAAAATCTATAGAACACTGTAAATTACACAGCCCACAAAAGAAGCGCTTGGTTGGGCCAGCCTGGAAATGGCACAGGCGGAAAGGAGCCTGGCGGGTCTGGGCTGTGTCCACATAGAGCGCTTCTTGGGTTCCGCCTGGAGAGAAGAAAAGCCCAGGCTGTGTTTCCTTCCAGATTCATTACTTTCTTCCGTTTGACTTTTTTCCCGAATTTCCCTTGATTTGTATAATTTTCCCAGGAATAATTAGTGGCAGTCTCTACTGGTTGTAAAATAAAGCTTGAAAAACAAAGATAATAGAGGGCCGTGTAAGGACTGCTCACAGACATGGACTCTGCATCCTGGTTTCTTAGCTGTGTGACCTTGGGCAAGTGACTTCAACCTCTCTGCACCTTGGGTTGCCTATCTGTGAAATGCAGATAATAGTTCCTACCTTGTAGGGTTGGTGTGGGTGCTAAATGAGGTGTTACTTACACTGGAATATGCACGTGCGTGTGTTCAAGTCCTGGATTATTTGAAACTCTTCTTATAGACCTGAAACCTTCATAAGAAGTGAATCCAAACATATGAGCTAAGCCTCTTACAACAGAAAAGCAGCCGGTATTATTCTAAATGAATGATGTATAGTGAACTTTTGGTTCTCATCTCTCCTAACTCAGATATATTTTGTTACATGCAATATCTCTTCCCTGTCATGACCTCGCCACGCTTTTAATTACTTGATCTATCTCCTCTACTAGATTGAGAGAAGAGGGGCAAGGTATAAATAATAAATAACAGAAATGAAGAGCTCCTTGTGGACAGGGAGCCTGTAACAATTGGCCAAGGGCTTACAGTGTATACCAACTGCTAGACTAGATGCTTCATACATTATTGTCAATG